CACTATTCGAAGCAAGGTCTTGTTAGCTAAGGCACTTGCAGTCTGTGTTGTTGATCATTTCTTCCTATGCAAACTTTTTCTTCGCTAAAACTCTGCCTCAAAATGCCCTATCTGTTTGTTACTTGTAGGGTTCTTACCAACATGAAAATACTGCATTTGTCTTTCTTCATTTTGTTAGATATTTGTAACCCTGCATTAAAATTAGTAAGAAAAGCATCAAGTAGTTACCATGAAAGAGAACCAATACAAGATTCTTGAACTTGCACTATACTGTGTTCACTTTCTTGAAATTTTCCGAGAGCTAGGAATTGGCCCCATGGCCTCCGATAACCAGAAGTATTTACAAAGCAAATGAAACTCAGGAAGTACTATAATTACTAGAAAATGCTGTGAGAGAGCATAGTGGAAGCATCAGCAGAGGATAATTACTGCAATTGAGGCATGTTCCTGTGAAATTCCAGAGAGGAAAGTAAAAACTCATTAAGCCTTTGCATTTATTCAAAAAGACAGAGAAAAAAGAGTTTTTAAAAGACATTCAAGGATATAGGGAGCCGAATACTTCAAAAACCTTCCACAAAAACTGTACCCTAAGCTTGTCAATCCAAAGAGAAATCAATTTGTTACTGACAGAGAAGGCAAGCATTTTTCCTTGAATTCAGTGCTTGCAAGATTGGTAGATTAACAGGATTTCATATTCAAGTCCCCTGCTCAGCAATGAGAAGACAGGCAGCAGTGATGGACTAAGAAGGTGCTACCTCCATGGCTAGTAGTGCCCTTCACACTGAGGCTGTACACAGAGCAGTACAGAGCTATGGTCAGGCTAACTCATTTGGCTAGACCTACTCGTTTGCTGACTTCTCTTTTCACAGAGGAGCCAAGGGTCAAGGGAACCAGCCTCACATGGGGCTCCACTTACTCATGCACTTAACCCATGGGTGAACATTTACCTATTAGACCCTGTTTTGTTTATTTCAGAAACAAAATAATCCTAATAAAAGGAAAACAAAAGCCCCAAAGCTACTAAACTCAATCAAGGTTACTAACAGTATTTATGAAATTCATATGCAATCCGCACAGCATCAAGAGTTTGCAGATTTCCAGAGACAATTCTCATTTTCTCAGACTGGAAGAAACACAAAGATATTAACTAATTATTTATGGAGTAGTCAATTATCTTGCTCTGTATACCTAAGACTGAACATCATGAAATGCTTATTAGTTGAGCAAGCAGGACAGTTGAGCAATTCCCTCCGGAATGGAGTGAAACCAAGAAGTTAGACAGAGAAGGACCCTTAGCAGGAATAATTTACTAATATAGACACAAAACTGCTCACTTTACTTAAGTATTACACATCTGACCAGCAAAGTTTTCAGTGCCAGCAAATAACCTTTATACTGTCACAGGGTTGCAGCAGAGCAGGCTGGAGCTGCAACTGCCCAGCTCTGCAGATTTTATGAGATAATATACAGTAGTTCAAGTCAGAAAGTCAAGCAAGGTGTGATATATTTTTGCCTTGGAAATGTGCAGAATACAGAGTCTACACGGTGCCTGTGTGCCTTCCTTCCCTTGTAGAAGCAGCAAAGCTTTACCCTGTCCTCCTGCAATGTTGGTCTGGACTAGCTTAGATGAGTGACCCCTAGCTGTGCTGAAATGCCCGGTTACACAAATGTCATCTGCTGTAATGTCTGTTTTATTTCTAAAAGCAACAACAACACCAAAAAAACATATATCCAGTCAAATCTGTATCTCATTTGCCATGGGATAGAGCTCCGTATTCAAAGCGAGTATTTGAGATAACACCTTTGGGAGGATATAGCAAAGTCATGCTCCATGAGTTCCTCACTGCGGAAGCACGGGTTGTAGTGCCCAGCCTTTCTGATGGACTGCTTAGCCTCAGACACAAACTACCCACACCAGTCCCTCTTTGATCATGACCTAATAACTGGACTCAACTGCCCCACATGTGAGCATTTAACCATGCGTACATAGTACATACATATAAATAATATATATAACCTAATGAGTTGATAGGAACACAACTGTTATGGTGCATGGTGCAAGGTTCAGACATGTCCCTGTCATGTAACTGCTTGTAATGACATATCCTAATCATGACACTTGGCAAGCAGGCTTCCAAAAAGTTTGTCACTCAACTAAAGTGGCTGTGTTTTAGCCCTACAGGCCTATATATCTTGGGAACATGACTGGGGAGGACAGCACAGAGAGAAGCTAGCTACCAAGACAGTACGTTTGGTCTGTGCTCTGACTTCCTCAGGAGATAGGGTGGTATAAAATGGTCTGCAGTCAGGCTCATTTCCTTTCTGATGGGCCTTGTCAAATCATCCAACCAGTTACTTGCTGACAAGCCTGCCAACCTGAAGATCAGAATTTGGGTGAGAAAGAGATGTGGACAAAAATATAAAATTTGCCCCACTCATTGATATACCTGAAAGAACTCCAGCTGAAATATTGCCAATCAATTTAATTGAACCCTGAAAGGATTGGTTCATTTTCCCTTGCAGTAAGATCACATCTTGAGCAGTAGAGGTTGATAACAGATAGTGTTGCATACTTCCATGGCTAATGTTCCCTGGTTCCTCATTTTTTAACTGAAATCCATAAAGAGGTCACAGTAATAACTACAGCCGATTTTATTTCTATGCCAATTATTGAGATGCTGGGAGGATAATTTTCAGACTCTGATTGTGATTTTCCAAGTACATTAGGAGACTTGATTCTCCTTGCTTCTCCACACAGGAAGATAAGCAATTGCCAGGAGGGGGATAAAGCATGATGCTTCTATCTTGCTGAGAAGCTTAAATACAGGTTCATAACATAAATGTATATACTAAGCAGAAGCTGTAATGGGAAACTATGTCAATAGTTAAAAGTAGGACTGATTTTTTTTTTCAGTGGGTAAGAGGTAAATGAAAAGAATTGTCCAGTGTCACATTGAACCCACCCAACTGCTCAAGTGTTCATTTTTGTTCTCATAGGAAAAGAAGGAAGGAATAAGGAAAACCTCTTAAACACACATTTCAAGGGTACCCTGCTCTAACAATAATGCACAAATATTCTCCTTTATGTGAATCAAATATACTGCGATAATTGCTAATTACCTGTGTTTGGAGCTACAAAATCTCCTTCTTACAAGGACAAAATGTGAGCTTACAGATACTCTCTATTTCAGCTAGTCCAGCTTCTGGTTTTACCTGGCTCTGCCCCAAGATGCATTATGCTTTACTTGCATCAGAATGGCACCCAGATTAACAGCAGTTCTCAAAATATTTACTTCCCAGATTACAAATGCTGTATGAGCACAATAAACAAGAGGGAGAAACATCCAACAACTTTCCCACATGGAAACTTTCTTCAGGAGATGAAGAGCTGATTCATGTGGTTTAATCAAGAATGCAGCAATAGTTATAACCATTAAAATCCAATTTCACTGTATCTCTTGGAATAAAAATAAGTAATCACACTATCTTATCAAGACTCCTATTTTGATGTCCCGCATTGTTCGCTTGTCCCACACTGTTCGCTTTGAATAACCAGCTTATTCCTGATTGGAAGCTAATTTAAAAATAAAAAAGTCAAAATGATTTTGAACGTTAGTCTTTCATTCTTTATCATGCAGCTCTCTTTGTCTCAAGAAGGAATTATAAAAATGTTCTCCTTCATTTCCTGCTCACGTGATGTCTCCTGTGTGAGACAATCCAGAACTTGACCACAGAGCACACAGAATCCTTGCTATTCACACTCCTTCCATTGTGTGTTGCTACAATGTTAAACAGGTTACCCTTGTGACCTACTGCACCCACCCAAAAAACCATGTCGAAGGTTTAAGAGCTCTACCTATGTTTCTCTGCCCACTGTTCTACATAGCTTGAGTCTGCCGTATTTCACATATGTAATACACATTATTTAGCGCCAACAAAATTTGTCAGTAACTTTTTTTTATAAAAAAGAAGTCCATAGAATGGAGTCCTCAGGCTATACTAAAAGTTTTACACTCCTGCATGAAGGTGATATGACTGTATTTCATATGTGTATTGCACCATTCCATTATGGTACCCAGTAGTAGTACAGTTTGCTCTCTTTTAATTAAAGTATTGAGCGCATCTTCTGCATAAAGAACTGGACAATGTATAAGTAGCAATTTAATGCTTTTGTTAAAGTAACAAAAAAGGAAATAGTTTAATGTAATTAAGAAATAAAAAACAAAAGGCAGAGAATTACTTAAGACGCAATTCCTGCAAGTATTTCATGCTCACTCAACTCTAGGTACTAAAACTGGTTCTTTACACAAGTTCAGGGAGAAATCTTCACAGATTTGCAGCCTCTAGGAGGTCTCGTCAAGCACCAAGAATCAGGCAGCTCATCACTACACTTTGCCCAGCTGATGACCATAGAGATGACAGCTGAAGATTTCAGAAGCCAGATTATGACTGAAACTGGGCTTTAGATGTGGCAGGGATACACCATCAAATATGTTCTATGCATATTGTCAGAAAATGACAAGATTTCATTAAGCTATGGCAAGTACAAATGGTATAAAACTGCCTCATATATGAACTACACTCAGTTATAACAACAGCTGCTTTAACAGCTGTTAAAGGCATCCTGACAACGTGAAAACCTGGCCCTTTTATAACCTAAAACACAGTTGCCAATGCAGTTATATTCCTAGGTAATATAGAAAGCACAGGTATTTAATTATGTGGTCTTTACTCTAATTGGAAAAAATATCTCACATAATATATACATGGAAGAGGGAAAAATCAGTAAGACAACACGATTTTTGTACATATTACATTCGCTGCTGTCAGACATAACACTAGTTCTTATGGGTCAGAAATGATCAACTTCGATTAGGACAGCTGCATGCCTTCTTAGATGGGCCAGTAACGTTGTCAAACCCAACATACAGTTGTCATGTAATTGCTCCTCCTGCTTGGTGAATTTTCAATTTCAGCAAAGAAGTGGTGGCTACACTTACCTGGTAGACCAGGTGGAGTTTTCAGATATTTTCCATTAAAATGTTGAATTACTACTTCACATTTTTCTGTAGACTCCATTCTAGAAAAGAGAAGAGGGTGGGATGGGGGCAGAGGCAAAATTTGTTACTAGTGTGGTATGAAAATGTTCAGTCATGAAAATGTTCAGTCAGTAAAAACATGAAGGAAAAGAAAAGGCCACGTGCAGATGCGGGCAGAACTCTTAAAAGCTGCTCTTGCTGCTTTGTGCAGAGCTCATTACGGGGCGGCGTGGCCAGTGGCGAGACCCTGCCACCCTCAAAGGCTGCAGCTGCGCTCCCAGCTGTGCCCGAGCGGCGACGGCGTCAAGGGACAGCTCGCGGTGACTCCCGGGGTCACCCTGAACAAGGACACTCTTTATAGTACCATGTGCTGCCTGAAAAGGCAGCGGACTCCTTTGCAAGAGTCCTCGTGCACCCAAAATAACCTCAAGGGGCATGAAAAAGAACAGGAGTTGGACAACGACCCAGGGGATTAAGCGACCGTTGTTAAGGTTTAGAATGATTAAAAAACCCCACATAACACCCTCCGAAGATGGACTGTACAGCAAGGCAAAGAGAAAACGTATGTGCTTATTACACAAAGCCAAATTCAGGGCGAAGACATGAAGCTGCACATAACACTGGCAAGTAAAAGGACCACTCTTCATCTCACATGACCTCAAGCATGATTTTCAGCACTGCGACATTAAAGCATTAACACAGAATCAACACACATGTTATTGAAGCAATTGTAAAAAAACACAAAGCTACTGGCTAAATCGTGATTCATCACACTAGGAAATCCACAAGTCCTTCAGATCCTGTAAACTCACTACACACTGCTCCTGAGAACAGCTGGCTCTGCTAGAGTGTCTACAGAAATGCTTGGAGAGAAGACAGAGAAATGGGAAGCTGATAACCAAGCAAAAATTGCACCTTTTTTTTTTCCCCTCTAGAATAACTGCATTTAAAAACACCTTCAAAACCCCCTCAGTATACTGGTTCTTACCTCCAAGTACTCCCACAAAAGTAACTCTACTGATATAAACACTAGCAATTTATTGACAGTTAAGATGTTTAAAATAAAATTTATCCACCATCCTTCCTATCACATAGGTGTGGGAAAGAG